CCCTGCCGGGTGCATGATGCTGCCCTGCTCCCCTTTCCTCCCTTGCAGGATGAAGTGATGAAGGAGACGGTCCTGCAGCACCCTGGGGCCAATGTCCTCACTGACTTCGCCACCTTCCCATCCTCAGCCTTCCTCAAGGTGAGACGCTGCTCTCCTGGGAGCGTTCCCCACAGCCCCGGGATGCTGGAGCTCTGGGGCGACGGCCGAGGGCGCATGTGGCCCGGCAGGTGTCCTCGCCAAGCCCCAGAAGGGTCTGCGCCGAGTTCCCGTGGCCTGCGCGCCGGAGGTCCCTTGCCACAATCTGGAGGATTTGGATTAGCAGTCCGGGGGCCACAGGGTCCCAGCACCTGTACCTGGGGGAGCTGGTCGCTGTTCCTGGGGGGTAGCACACGCCATCCCCATGGGGCGTGGCTCTGGGCTGAATGGAGCGCCATGGGTCCATGGAAAGGCGACCGGGCCCTGGGGTGTGTGAAACCCCCCTCGGGCGACACCCTCTGGAGCTGGTCCCTAGGAGATAACGCAGTGGTACCCTCCTGGCGCTCGGGGTGGCTTTTATCAGCCTGTCCTGCTGCCCCTGACCCTCCGCTCTGCTCTTCCAGGCCAAAGAGGAGAAGAAGGAAGACACCGTGTACGTTGGCAAAGTGACCTTCCCCTGCCAGCCTGGGCATGGCCAAGTGCACAAGCTCGTCCTGACGCCGGAGCAGCTGTGTGAGCTGCACGGCCGCCTCATCTCCTAAGGGACCCCCCGCCCCCCACAGAGACTGATGTTCCTTGCACAGCCCCTCTCCCCAACCCGTTGCTGAGTCTCTTCTCCAAGCCCCTTCTTGGCAGGGACTTGCTAGCCTGTGCGTGCAGCAGACCCCAGCAGAGCGCCCCCGCCTGGAGCACCAGGTTCCAGCTAACGAAACAACTCACCCTTCTGCCCCGCCGAGGGGGACCTTGGCATAGCTGTGTGTGCATGTGTGTTCGCTCCTGCCTGCATCTCCGGCTGCCTTTCCTCCTCCCTGCTCTCGCGGTGCATCTGAGAGCTGCCTTTCTCCTGGGGGGGGGGACTGAGGTGTCAGGGGCCGGGCCTGATTGTATACATTACACTCACCAGTGAAAGCTCTTCCAACACCCACCCAGCAGCTCCTTGTCCGAACGGCACTGACCTGGCCCAGGAGCTCACGGCTCCTGATCCGCTCAGCCCCTGGCAAACCCCCCGGGGCGGGCTCTGCCCGCTCAGCCCCTGGCAAACCCCCCGGGGCGGGCTCTGCCCGCTCAGCCCCTGGCAAACCCCCCGGGGTGGGCTCTGCCCGCTCAGCCCCTGGCAAACCCCCCGGGGCAGGCTCTGTAGGGAGCACCACCGTTCTCCAGGCGGGATTGGAGTGGCAGGGAGCCAGGGGCTTGGCCCTGCACTGAGGCTGGGAGCGGCATTGGAACCCCGCCCAGCTCAGCCTAACTGATCAACAAGAGAAACCCAGCCAGAGATGCCCCCGTTCTGCCCTGCTCGGTGCTGAGGGGTTTGGGCTGCTGGCCAGGCGGTCGGGCTGTGCCTCTAGCTCCTGTCACTGGATGAAGGGGTCATGCCAGAGGGGAAAGGGAGCCCCTGGGGCTCCCGCTCTGAACACTACAGATACCCGCAGTGGGGTGAGTTCAAAGCCCGTCCCACCAGCTGCTGCTGTCACTCCCCCCAGGTGCTGTGGTTGTCACATCAGTGCAGGGGGCCGGGAGCTGAGTTCCCCCTGGCTAGTGGGTGAGTGCGCGGAGGAGCTTTGGGTCTGTTGGTACGAGCGCATGCTGCTGCACCATCCCCTCCTGTAACCAGTTCTTCGCACTCTAGGGCTCTGGAAATGAATAAAGCTACAACTGTTAAACCCAGCTTGGTACAGTGAGGTTCTTCTCCGCTCCGCCCACTGGGC